CAACAGTCAAGTACAGGTCAGGTAACTTTTGTCTTGTTAGTGAGTAGTGTAACAACAGTCAAGTACAGGTCAGGTAACTTTTCATTATGTTAGTGAGTAGTGTAACAAAAGTCAGGTACAGGTCAGGTAATTTTTTTTTTTTTTGTTATTGAGTAGTATAAAAACAGTTAGTTACAGGTCAGGGATCTTTTCATTATGTTAGTGACTGGTGTAACAACAGTCAGGTACAGGTCTGGTATCTTTTTGTTTTGTTAGTGAGTAGTGTAACAACATTCAGTTACAGGTCAGGGATCTTCATTATGTTAGTGAGTAGTGTAACAACAGTCAGGTACAAGTCAGGTAACTTTTTGTCTTGTTATTGAGTAGTGTAACAACAGTCAGGGATCTTTTCATTATGTAAGTGAGTAGTGTAACAACGGTCAAGTACAGGTCAGGGATCTTTTTGTTGTGTTAGTGAGTAGTGTAACAATGGTCAAATACAGGTCAGTGATCTTTTTGTTATGTTAGTGAGTAGTGTATCAGTAGTCTCAAGTACATGTCAGGGATCTTTTTGTCATGTTAATGAGTAGTGTAACAACAGTCAAGTACAGGTTAGGGATCTTTTTGTCATGTTAATGAGTAGTGTAACAACAGTCAAGTACAGGTCAGGGATCTTTTCATTATGTTAGTGAGTAGTGTAACAACGGTCAAGTACAGGTCAGGGATCTTTTTGTTGTGTTAGTGAGTAGTGTAACAATGGTCAAATACAGGTCAGTGATCTTTTTGTTATGTTAGTGAGTAGTGTATCAGTAGTCTCAAGTACAGGTCAGGGATCTTTTCATTATGTTAGTGAGTAGTGTAACAACAGTCAAGTACAGGTCAGGGATCTTTTCATTATGTAAGTGAGTAGTGTAACAACAGTCAAGTACAGGTCAGTGATATTTTTGTTATGTTAGTGAGTAGTGTATCAGTAGTCTCAAGTACATGTCAGGGATCTTTTTGTCATGTTAATGAGTAGTGTAACAACAGTCAAGTACAGGTCAGGGATCTTTTCATTATGTTAGTGAGTAGTGTATCAGTATTTTCAAGTACAGGTCAGGGATCTTTTCATTATGTTAGTGAATAGTGTAACAATGGTCAAGTACAGGTCAGGGATCTTTTTGTCGTGTTAGTGAGTAGTGTAACAATAGTCAAGTACAGGTCAGGGATCTTTTTGTTGTGTTAGTGAGTAGTGTAACAATGGTCAAGTACAGGTCAAGGATCTTTTTGTTGTGTTAGTGAGTAGTGTAACAATAGTCAAGTACAGGTCAGGGATCTTTTTGTTGTGTTAGTGAGTAGTGTAACAATGGTCAAGTACAGGTCAAGGATCTTTTTGTTGTGTTAGTGAGTAGTGTAACAATGGTCAAGTACAGGTCAAGGATCTTTTTGTTGTGTTAGTGAGTAGTGTATCAGTAGTCTCAAGTACAGGTCAGGATGATCAGTCATGTGTTTTTTAGTTAACCTATTTAGAGTTCAATACGGTGAGATTGTTCATAGTCATCCCTCAATTTAACTCAAAATATTTAACAACACGTTTATTGGTAATGGTAAGCATAACTGTTTTTATTCTTAAAAATATACCAGAAATTAGATATATTGCCTCAGAATGTTTGATAAACATCGTGAATATAAATGTATGGTTATATGGTGGATATTTTGTATAGAAATATCGAATTATATGTCATAAGTGCAGTAGTACTTGTAGTAGGAATGGGCCAAATGTGCAATACAAATTAAAATCTCAAACACACTGCAAACAGCATGTAAACAAAACTTTATAAACACTACACACACTGTTGAGTAGTAAACAAATCAACTGCAGAGTAACAAGCCACTAAAGCACTTGAGAAAGTTGATAGAATGTAAACAAAAATTTCACAAAACCATGAATTTTTCAATCTGAGTGACTAACGTTGTTAGAAAGGCGTAGCTCTCTCCTTCCTTCACGTTATGCAATTCTAAATACATGTGATTAAATTACGCTATCTTGGCTGAAAAATGTGTTACTTAGTTTTACTTATAACCTTGATATAAACAAGTAATAAAAATAACCATTTTGCAACACTAGTAACAAGCTAACAATACACTAGTAGCCATATTCTATGATTACGAGCATGCTCTATGAGTTGGCAAGTAACAATCCTCCCTCATATCACGTGCTAGTGCACGATTGCTTATGCGCACACACTATATGATCAGCCTGTACCTGTATTAGCTAGATAAAGAAAAAAACATGCACTATGTAGACTCTCTAGGTCTAGATTCGAACTATGATCTAACTGTTGAAAGTGAAGTTTTCAGTTTTATATATCTGACTTGAGGTTCTATGTTGGACAAAGCAATTCTGTCATGATGTCATGATTTCATTAGGGTCATGTAATTGGATTACATACATGTATCTGTACTTGGTTGCTGAAACAAAGTTTACAACAGAGAAATTTCTTTATATACACCTTTCATTTAGTTTGAACAATTACCAAGTTACAAAAAGCATATGGAATAGAAATGGGTGGAATGATGGCCACACCCACTTTGAGGTTGCACCATGTCAAAAACCACCAAGTGTTGTAATGTTATCCCACCCATTCCTACTTTCTAATTTTTAATTTAAAGATTTTATAAGCTTGTATACATAAGATTATATATTAGATACTTTATGTGAGATAAACATCTTAAATGGAAAGGTATAATTATATTGTAGATAGTTTGTGGATAAATGTGGTTTTATATTGTAGATAGTTTGTAGATAAATGTGGTGTTATATTGTAGATAGTTTGTAGATAAATGTGGTTTTATATTGTAGATAGTTTGTAGATAAATGTGGTGTTATATTGTAGATACTTTGTAGATAAATGTGGTGTTATATTGTAGATAGTTTGTAGATAAATGTGGTGTTATATTGTAGATACTTTGTAGATAAATGTGGTGTTATATTGTAGATAGTTTGTAGATAAATGTGGTGTTATATTGTAGATACTTTGTAGATAAATGTGGTTATAAATGTGGTTTTATATTGTAG